ACGCGGGCATCCGACATTACCGTCAATATTGTCGGCTCTGGACATACACTCCTTGTATTTAGCCGGGGCCGAAGCCTAGCCGGTATCTACGAGTTGTCCGGCTGTGATGTGAACCACGTCGCCTAGAAGAGCCTGCTTCGAAACAAATGTAATCGGATTTCAACCACTTTGTTTAGGGTGGCTTGGTGTTCTTCGTTTTAGTTGTATGCGTCGCAAGATGCAACTGAAACAGAAAACGCAATTCTACCGGTATCTTTATGATAGTGCATGCCACATTTCTGCACCAATGCAAGTCAGCGGCATTGTGATCTCCGCCTGGCCCTTTAATTGTTGGCACGTGGCCGCTGTGTCTCCCCCCGCCCTACCTCCACCACTGATTGAGTCAGGGGCGGATCCAGAGAGGGCGGTCACGGGGCCCACAGCCCCCCGTGGTACCCCGAAGTGGCCCATAGGCTCCGAAGGGGCCCATAGGTGACCGAACAGATGCAGTTTTTTAAACACAAAACACAACACAATTTATTTTGATTTCCAGGCCACCGAGAACAGTTACAAACAAAAGTGAATGGCCTACGAGAAAAAACAAAAAAAAAATTTGATAATAGAAAAAGTCGTAAATTGGAAATTATAAGCCTTATCACGCTGTCCAGGGTCCTATCCTGTTTCCGGGGACCTATATGCCCACTTGCAATGCCATTTCGATCGTTAAGGAGCCTTCCACGTTAGCCCTGACTGCTTTGGGTTTGCTCGGAGGGCCCTGCCCAGTTTCTGTGCTCTTCCTGCCGGCGTGCCGGGGTGCTCTTGTCAATCAGAGGCCTTCCACGGATTCTTTTCAGTCGCCAGAAAGGCTCTGCGGGCTATAGCAGGGAACCCCCATGTTAACTTGCCCGGGTATTCTCGGTCGCTCGGGGGCCCTTTACGTTGGTTTCGGTTCACCTAACAACACACTTGCGATATGCTTATGGGCCCTCTGCACTGGTTTAGGGCGCTTCCAATTTTATGTCACTTGCTTCGGGCCCTACGCTCTCGTCGGGGGCTCATTTACTAACCTGCTTATGCACACTCTGTCGGTCGGGGCCCTCGAAACTTGGTCCAGGGTACTTTCCATTTGAATGGAGGGCCCTGCACACTTGTCGGGGCCCCATCTGTTAACCTGCTCCGTTACACTGGATTGTTTAGGGGCCCGGCACATTGGGTATTTTAATGTAGGGACCCACGCTCTTGTCAAGGCCATCTAATAGCCTGCGCGGACAAACTCGATCTTTCGGGGGCCCTCTTCATTGGGTCCTGGGGAAGCCCCATTTGAATGGAGGCCCTACGCACTTGTCTGGGGTCCCATCTGTTAACCTCTTCGGCCAAAGTGGATTGTCCGGGAGCCCTGCACATTGAGTCTTGGCGTTTGAATTTAGGGCCTTGCGTTCCTATCGAGGCCATCTGATAGCCTGCTCGGGTATACTCCATCTTTCGGGGGCCTTCCGCACTGGGCTTTGGGCACTCTTACTTCAATGCAGGGACCTACGCTCTATGCTCTTGTTGCGGCCCCTTCTGATAAGCTGCTCGGGCACATTCGATTGTTAGGGAACCTCTGCGTCTGGTCTTGAGTACCTTCGATTTGAATGGAGGGCCCTGCGCTCTTGACGGGAGCCCTATCTGCTAGCATGCTCTGGCGCATTCGATCATTCGGGGTCCCATGTCGTGGGTATTTCATATTTGAACGAAAGGCCCCACGCACCTGTCAGGATCCCATCTGTTAACCTGCTTAGGCACTCTGGATTGTTTGGGGCCCTGCACATTGGGTAGTCTAATGTAGGGCTCTACGCTCTTATCGGGGGCCATCTGATAGCCTGTTCATGTACATTAGATCTTTTTGGGGGCCCTCCACACTAGGTCTTGGGTACGTTTTATTTGAATGAGGGCCCTACGCTCTTGTCGGGTCCCTATCCGATATCCTGCTCAGTCACATTCGATCGTTCGGGAGGACTCTGCACCGGGTCATCCTTTTTTGAACGGTGGGTCTACGCACTTGTCGGGGGCCCTCTCTGTTCGTCTCACTGTTCGGCCACACTGAATTGGTCGGGGACCCTGCACATTGGGTTTCGCTGCTTGAATTTAGGGCCATGCGCTCTTAGCGGGGTCCATCAGATAATCTCCTCGAGACACTCTATCTTTCGGGGACCCTTTGCATTAGGCTTTCGGCACTACTTAGTTGAATGTAGGGCTTCACGTTCTTGTCGTGGCCCCTTCTGATAAGCCGCTCCGGCGCGTTCGATTGCTGGGCGACCTCTACGTCGGGTCTTGGGTACTTGCTTTTTGAATGCAAGGTGCTACGCTCTTCACGGGGCCCTATCTGTTAACATTCTCGGGCACCCTCGATCATTCAGGGGCCCTCTACATCGTACCGTAGGTATTTCACATTTGAATGAATGGCCCTACACTTTCGTCGGCAGCGCCATCCGTTCACCTCCTTTGAATTTAGGGCGCTGCACTCCTGTCGGGGGGGCCGTCTGGTAATCTGCTGGGGTACACTCCATATTTCGGGGCCCTGTGCTGTGCACAGGGTTTGGATACTTCTTATTTGAATGGAGGGCCTTACGCTCTTGTCGGGCTTCTTCTGATAAGCTGCTGGGGTGCATTTCATCATTCGGGGGCCATTTGCATCGGGTCTTGAGTGCTTACAATTTGATTGGAGGGTCCTACGCTCTTGTTATAAGCCCCATCTGTTAAAGCGCTCGGACACACTTTATCTCTCGGGGGCCCTCTTCATCGGGTCCTGATGAATTCCTTTTTGAATGGAGGTCCCTGAGGTCTTGACGGGGGCCCTATGTGATAACCTGCTCGGTAACTGGCCCCGCGCTCCTGTCGCCCCCCCCCCCCCCCCCCCCATCCGTTGCCTGCTCGAGCACACTCGATTGTTCCGAGGCTCTCCATGCTGTGTTTTGGTTACTTCTTAGTTGAATGGATGGCCCTATGTTCTTGGCGGGCATGCTGCTTTTCCCTATTAAGCTGTTGGAGCCGGTTGTGGATACAGACGGGGAAGGAAAGATACGGGATCACGCCCCCCATGAACTATGCCGATGTACCTATAGGCTCCCAAGGGCCCCACAACTGGCCGTACGGACGCAGTTTTCTAACAAAACGTTGCATGCAACTTAATTGGACGTCTTTGGTCCTACAGACAGCCAAGAACGATTGCTCGCAAAAGTAAGCAGTTCATGAGCAGATAAAGCTAATTCTTTGCTGATTGAGAAGGCGTTGCTTGGCGGAAATTTTGGGGTTCATTACGCTGTCCAAAGACATAGCGCTGTTGCCTGGATCCTATATGTCCACTTGCCGGGTCAGTCTGATCGCTAGGAAACTTTCCACGTTGCCCTTGATATCTTTGCACTTTCTCGTGGGGCCCAATACCGCCGTTGGTAAGCTATCTGCTTCTATGCATGAGCACCCTTGATCGATCACGTTCTCCTCGACGGATTTCTCCCGTTTTCCCGAAAGGCTCTGCACGCTTTTCCGGGGCCTCATACACCAGGGTACGCTCAGTTGCTCAGGGGCCCATCATATTGGCATCGGGTTCTTTCCACTTACTCGAGGGGCCTCGTGCTTTTGCTGGAGCTTACCGCTCACGTCCGCGCCGCCACGCGCGGACGCGAGCGCTGTTCGCTCCTCTCTGGGCCTCACGCTCCTGGCGGGGCCATCTGGTAACCCGCTCGGGTACACTCCATCTTTTGAGGCCCTCCACACTGGGTCGGGCCCGAAGGGTCCGAAAAGCCGGATGGAGGTCGTATTCTGTAGGTGGTGACTGAGCTCTAAAAGAGGTGAAGGGTCCGTATCCCCCTGGATTTCATCCGAGCGTGTTTTGTCCAAAAAGGATCGCCGAAAATGGTATCACCTGTTTTTATATTGGCATCTCGCAGATGTCCATTATATCTCAAACCAATAAGGCGCAAGGACTCCTCGACATCGACGATATCCCTCCTCTGTTTTTCACAAAGTTTAGACCTGACACGCGCTCGGGTGGGGGTCAAATTGACCCTGCCCTGAAAATTGTTCTGGAATGATTTGGCAATGGCGCGACTACGCCGCGCCAAATTTTGCATATTTGGATTCATCCGCGTAACCTGCAGTTCTCCCCACGGTCCGAGTTGTGACGCAGAGTGCCCGCAATCACACGAGGCGCTCCATTCTCGCAGTCCTCCGATAAGCCAGCGGGACGGTTGTGCTGGTGTGCTGACGGCCTTCTCCAAGGTCTGCAGGAGGATGCTCGCGCCACTCAGCGCCTAATGCTCAGTACGGGCATGGGCGTGAGACACGTGACTGCCGCCCACGGACGTCACTTTATATACTCTCGGGGGGCCTTGACTTCCCATTCAATTAACACAAGACACTGCGAGACAGATTTCACATCACTGAAAAGCATGGGCGGGATTGTATGCTCCCAACGCATCCCTCCCCAACCTCACTAAATCCCGCTTTTTATTGCAACAGCGACGACACAGTGGGCTGGTAAGGCTTCCGCGCACTCCGACCCACGTGCGTGGCACATATCCAGGGGTGAAAAAGCTTCTTATCTACCGGATATGAGTTATGAGTCGATATACACGCTCCCTTTTTCTTCGATTCTCCCTACTTAAACAAAACTGGGTATCGACAATACCAAATCTAGTAGGCCCTTTTGCATATGGTACGGTTCCAGCCTCGACAGCTCTGGCGCATTTTCTCCATTAGAAATGCCGAATGTTCTCTATCGTGCACGCGTGGTTTTATGAGAATGTACGTGGGATCGGTTGGCGGCATTTGGTGAGCTGTAGTAGCATAAAAGGTACGGCTGGTGATCTTTGTTGGCTATGATGTATTTGCCACCACGCGTGAGCAGTGGGTAATTTGAAGCTGACCTCTGCAGTCCATTAAAGGACGGCGTTTGCAGTGCTTCATGCGTGGGTGGGGTGGGACAACTTGGGTGCATGGGTGGGGAGGGACACAGCTAGGTTGCACTGAAAATAAACTAGCAATCCTTTGTAGTATCCATTTTGTTACTGGGCATAAGGCAGCATCACATCATCATGAGTTACATATTTTTATATGTACCACACATTGATAGTGCTATCATTTATATGCCAACATCTTAACATGCAACCAAGTTGGAGGTGTGTGCTGCAGCAGACTTGCGTGAGTTGTACGTTATTATGATGGGCAGAAGGTACCAGTGTCCAATAGGTAGGCAACCATGAAGGGGGGATGTTTTTCAAAGTGGTGTTGATCTGTTGCCTCCCAAACCATGGGGTTGCATCATAAGTGTGGCATTGCATCATGAAGACTAGACATGGGAAGGCTGTTGCATTGTGTAAAGTAAGTAATAGCCATATCAGTCATGCATGATGATGTGGGCTCTGGGTGTTTCCACACCAGCAGAATCCTGCTCCTTGTCATGGACTGAACATAACATTTGCCTCAGTGAAGGAGTGTGGTTGACAAATCAGTAAGGCTGTTAGAGTGGGGATGCTGGATCCTGGATGATCACTACCTTGGTGCGGGGTGAGTCTAATTACTTGCCAGTTGGTCTGCCAGGTGGTGTCTGGGAATGAATGGGCATTCATGCAATGGTAGGTTCTGAGGCCAAACTGAGCTGAAAGTGTCATCTCAGGCAGACACCACACTGGTGCTGCAGAACCTGTGGAGCTCCTTCAGTGACTCAGCAAATCTCTTAGCTGGAGAGTACTGTAACAGCCTGGTGTGGGACGGAGCTGTATGCTTTCTGCCACCAGCTCCAAAGGTGCCTGCTCGTGCTCTAGATTTGCTGTACCTGCCCATCTTGGCCAGTGTGAGAGCATGGGGTGCTGTATATTCACAGAACAACAAACCAACATTGGGATGTTCAAACACTGTGTGTGCACATCAAAGTTGAATTGTGTTACTCGCTTTCATATCAACATCTTAGTGGAGGGTTGATGCATTAGTATTCAATGAAATATTGAAAGCTTTATGAGAATGGAATCAGGGCAATGGATCATATTATATCCGCACTGTTCCAGATCCAACACAATGAGCAGAATCATAAGATCATACAAGGTTGCGGGGGGCATTCCAGTGCGACTGCTCAAAGTTGAAGCCCCAGCAATATCAAGCTACCAGGTAAGTTCACTTGAATGTGGAAGGCAATAGTTATAAAGTGGGCCGGTTATACACCTAAGATAATAAGGATCTGTGACATGCAGCATTTTGGTGTGCAGACATACACCGAGATAGCAAATAGCATGCACCTGCTGATAAACACCAGAGCGTGAACACAAAATATGGTATTTTGCTAGTGCAATGGTACACTATGCCCTGCAGGCAAAAACGAAAATACAGGGCACCGAACCAATGCTGCCAACCCTGCCTGGTACGTCAGCCTTCACGTGCACACCTTGCAGGAGCGTCAGTGAGTAATAACGCCTGTTTTTCCCAAGCTCCGGAACTGATGGGGCGCCGATAGCGTAGTGGTTAGCGCGTCTTAGTTAAACACTACAGGTTTGGGAAACCAGAGGTGCGGGGTTCGATTCCCCACGGTTCCCGAGACAGGCGATGCCATGCGGCCTCAGCGGCTGAGCACGTCGCAAAGCTCCAATAACACGCACGACAATCCTCCAGGCTCGCCAGCTGAGTAACCCGTCACAGAAACCCCAAGGGTTCATCGGCAAGCTCATCGACAACATCAAACAGGAGTATGAGAAGAACAAGGAGATGAAGGAGAGCCTCGAGAAGTTCAAGAGGGAGGCCGAGCGACTGGAGCAGTCGGAAGCCCTGAAGAAGGCCCGGTAGGATGGGTCCGGCGCGACTGTGCATGCGGGTGAAGCCGCCTCGCAGATCGCGGGGTTATCGTCGCTTTGATACGCGTCATGTGTACTAGCAAATCGGCGTATTTGTAAGCGATTGACGAGCACGTGGATACCTGATGATGCCGGTGATGACCGGACATTTGGCACACGCTGACGTCAGGGGTCATATTGTGCCCATATGGGGGTTTTGTATAGTATTTCCAGTGCTATACCTTGTCTAAGGTTTACACGTAGCTGAAAGCAGAACAGCTCTGAGAAAGAACATGGATGAATAGAAACTGACAAGCGACATTCGTTCCTTAACCACACATTATCAATTGTTGGTTCACTAATTACAATTACCTCAAATATTGCAAGTTCAGGTGCGTGATCAACGCATGCAAATCTGCTATTGATTTATTCATGCAGAAAACATCAGGTTTCTTGTCTTTATGGAAGCTGACGTATCCACGACTGTGCTGTCTCCAGTGAGAAGTATGAACGGCTGGAGTCGGAGACGGGCGAGGGGACCAAGATGCTGCAGGAGAGGTTAACCTCGCTGAAAAAGAAGCTCGGGGAGACGCTCGATGAAGCCCAAAAACTCGAGCTGGTCAAAAAAGCCAGTGAGTATGCACTTGCGTATCCCTCCTTACCACACATTGTACCTTGTCATGCTCATATATCCGTCATGCCATGTCTGCATATATCTGTCATGCTCAGTTTACCACATTGGGTGCCAGTCATAGGGCTGAGCTTTATGTCACGTGCGACTTGAGTACTGTCAGCGACAAGGTTCGATGAATGCGTGTGTGGATTTTTGACGTCTGGTGGTGGCCTATCCCGCATTATTGTCAGTCAGTGGCCACTGGGTTCGGGAAGGTCCGGACTTCAGCAAGTTTTGGGCAGATTAGACCTTTTTTGGCCATGCATAATGACACCGGAACAGAGTTTGTCGCCGGGAACACTTCAGGCACGGCTCTGTCCATTAACATCGCCGGCGCAGTAAGCGATCCTCCGCCACCCTGGCGTCGCACACGTGCTCAGGCATATAGCGGAAGCAGAATGTTTGGTGGTTGGTGTGAGGCCAGCTGTGCTGTTTTTCCGCTTGTTTGCTCGGCCGGACTGTTCACAAATTTGCTGGCCCGAACTCCGCCAGTTCTGGCGAGTGTCTGGCACAGTTATGTCCAGGACTCGTGAGGGCTTACCAGCTCTGTGTATGTCTGCTTTGGTTACCTTTGTATCAGTCCAGATTGTTTTGGTTTGCGTTGTCCTCAGCGAGCACATGCCCAAACTCTTTTGCTTGTGATAACTTACTGCGTAAGCGCAGACTGAAAACTTTGATAATTCCACCAGGGAACATCAGGTGGAAGAGGAGCTGACGAATTAGTCCTCTTTCGATCTTCTGATGGTGGGGGGGGGGGGGGGGGGGCATTGGGGAGGAGGGGGGAGTGTTCCATTGCACCGGAGTGCGCGGAGATGCAGACTTGCGCAGATCGCCGTGTCACTTCGTTGGCACCTCCCATTTCTTCTGCTTCTTTCCCCGCCCCATACATTCGAAGATGATGTATGGCCGCAAAGCCCCATTTTCGTTCTACTTGCTACTCCTCGTAGTCTCGTCGTCTTCATTCTACGCATTCCGTTTGTTTGCGTGGGTGTTGGCGCGTATGCGTGTGTGTGACCGTGTGGTTGGGAGCGGCGCCGTGAGTTGACGCCGAGCTGGCCGTTGACCGCGCCGTGCTCCGCCGTCGCAGCCGAGCTGACCGAGACGATGAACAAGCAGGCGCGCCAGACGGCCGAGGCCGTGGCGCAGCGCGGCGAGCAGCTCGGCCGCTCGGCCACCTTCCAGACGCTCTCCGACACGGCGCGCGCCGTCAAGCGCGAGATCGACGACAGCACCATCGGCAGCCCGGGGGTGAGCGGACGGGACGGCGCCGCCCGGCCCGCCGGCGGCGCGGAGCGCAGGGCTGCCGGGTGGCGCGCCGACCGAGCGGCCGCCGGCTGACGATGCCGCGGCACGACACGCCTGCTCATTGGCTTGGTCTGTGGTCGTTTGTGCGTGTTTCTGGCCGCGCTCGCCACTGCGCGGCTTGGTGTGTATCCTGGCTCGCCCCGTGACGTCACCCGTCGCTGGTGTCCCGTGACCCGTCTGTGCCACCCGCCCCCGGGCCTGATGTACCGCGGCCGCTGCGCCTCACACGCCACTCTTGCGTCGCTTCAGCCGTCACCCCGAGAGTCACGTGGTCGGCGTCTCTGACTTGTCTCCTGGCGTGGGTTGTCTGCCTGGCTCATGCGCTGTTCTGGCCCGAACACGTTATTCGTTGCTGACTTGACACGTCGCCTCGGCGCACCCGCCTTGCGTGACCCACTCCCCGTTCCACACCTTACCTGTCGTTGCAGTCTGGCCCTACACACCAGCGTAACTGGTTCGCTGATGTGACATGGTCTCAGCGACTCATTCAACTGACCTGGTCCCCGACCTCACCCGCCCCTTGTCCCCAACTTCGCCCGCCCCTCGTCCCCAACCCCGCCCGTCTCTTGCCCCCAACCTCGCTCGTCCATCATCCCCGATTTCGCCCGTCTCGTCACACGACATCGCCTGTCCCTTTCCTCCCAACCTCGCACGTCCCTCGTCCCCAACCTTGCCCATCCCTCGTCCCCAACCTCGCTCGTCCCTCATCTCCGACCTCGCCTGTCCCGCGGCCTCGCCCGTCCCATCACCAGACTGGTCCCATGAATTCCTCCCTTGACCTGATGCGTCGCCCCGGCTTGTCCCCTGACCTCCATGACCGGACCCGTCTCCGTAACCCCCTGATTAGCTCGACCCGTCTCGGTGACATGTCTGTTTGGCTTGGCTGTGTCTCTATCTCGTCCACGACTTCGCCATCTCTGCTACCCGTCCCGCGGACCTGGTTTGTCGGCGTGCTCCGTGTCGCCGCCCGGCTCCGCCTCTGTGACCTGTGCCGCCGCCCGCCCCCGCCTCCATGACCCGTGCCACCGGCTTGGCACTCGTCGCTGACTGGACGGGCGGCCGCCAGGTGTACCGGGCGCCCAAGGTGCTGCGTAAACGCAAGAGCGCGGCGGCGCCCGAAGACGACCACGCCGTCGCCGCCGACACCGAGGCCACCGGCTTGGAGCTCCACAAGGACTCGCGCTTCTACGCCAGCTGGCAGAACTTCAAGGCGAGTGGGCGGCGATGGCGACGCCGGCCGCCGCTGCTGGCTGGCCGGCGGGCGTGAGGCGGACGGGTCATAGCAGAGAGATTGTGCATAGCAGAGATTCGCTGCTGAAACTCCGGAAATCGGGGGTGTTTATAGCGTGGCAATGGCGTATAGACGTCACGCGTGAACGATCGTAGTAGCCATATTATATATATATATATATATATATATATATATATATATATATATATGTATATATATATATATATATATATATATATATATATATATATATATATATATATATTGACCGGAACTATACCTGAGCTATCCAAAGCGCAAAACGCCGTTCTCTTCAATGATCAATGCGCAAACGGAAAATATATCACCAATCTTGCGCAGCCGCAGTCTACTGGTTGGGTAGGTGACGTCATCCCATAAGTACTCGATTATGTTAACAGATATCGCAGGCGATTGTAACGGCTGCCCGGTTTTTGCAGGACAACAACGCGTACGTGCACAAGGTCATGGACTGGAAGACCAAGTACGATGAGAGCGACAACGCGGTGGTGCGCGCCTCCCGCCTGCTGACGGACAAAGTCAGCGACATCATGGGCGGCCTGTTTCAGCGCACGGAGCTATCAGAGGTGGGCCGAGACCGTGGCGACTGACAGCGGACCTTTCAGAGGTGGGGCGAGACCGTGGCGACTGACAGCGGACCTTTCAGAGGTGGGCCGAGACCGCGGCGACTAACAGCGGACCTCTCAGAGGTGGGCCGAGACCGCATCAGCTGACAGCGCACCTCTCAGAGGCGGGCCGAGGCCGCGGAACGGGTGGGGTACGGGAATTCGCGTGGTTGGGGGAACGTTTGTCCCCAATTTTTGGTGTGCTTCGCTTAAGTTAAATTTTCAGGGTCGCGGTAGGGTTTTAAATGGGCTTTCAAAAACGGCACAGCAACAAGTCACAAAGGTCTCTCAAGTTTACGATTTTTATCTCTGAGCGGTTCAGACACCTCACGCGCTGGTCTCGCCACTCGATGACGGCCGTCATGCGGCTGTAAAGCCTCGCCGTGCGTCGGCTGACGCTCCATGCCGCGGCCAGGTGCTCACCGAGATCTGCCGGATGGACCCGCACTTCGACAAGGACCAGTTTCTGCGCGACTGCGAGCACGACATCATCCCCAACATCCTGGAGGCGATGATCCGCGGCGACCTGGACATCCTGCAGGACTGGTGCTACGAGGCCACCTTCAACGTGCTGGCGCAGCCCGTGCGCACGGCGCGCCAGCTGGGCTACCACTACGACTCCAAGGTGCTGGACGTGGACAACGTGGACCTGGCCATGGGCAAGATGATGGACCAGGGCCCGGTGCTGATCATCACGTTCACGTCGCAGCAGATCCTGTGTGTGCGCGACGCGCGGGAAACTGTGATCGAGGGAGATCCTAACAAGATAATGCGCGTGAACTACGTGTGGGTGCTGTGCCGCGACCAAACAGAGCTCGACCCGCAGGCCGCCTGGCGCCTGCTGGAGCTCTCGGCCAGCAGCACCGAACAGCTCGTCTAGCGCCCGGTGCGTCAGTGAGCCAGTGACGTAATGGCGGCCGCCGGTCGGCCTCGCCCGGCCGCCTGCGGCGCGGGGTCGGTCGCACGTGCAGCCGGTGGGCGGGGGAGGAGGGGGGCGGAACTCTCGCTCAGGGCTGATGTCGCAGCGGCGCGGGGCCGGGTAGCCACTGCTGTGATGGATTTCCGTTGTGACCCCGGCGGCTTGACGCTGATGACGTCATAGTGATGTGTTAGACGTACGGCCAGGGTGGAGCGGGCGCCGGTATTGCAGCCGGCCTTAAATAGCACGAATTCAAGCCACACCGCATAGTGCAACCTACGTGCAATCTGCGTGGCCGATGAAGGAGTGACAGTCATTGTTCCCACATGCCCGACGAATGGCTCCTTCCGTGGCTTAGTATGTGCTGACGTCATAGAGCAATGTTAGTGAGTCTCACCGTGCCCAGTGGACAGTGCATGACGTCACTTCGCTAACGTGAGTCAAAACGCTAAAGGCGGCTTGCCAATCGTGATGGTGTGGAAGTTCCTATCTCCATATTGCGATTGGCGCCCGGTTTTCTGGTCTGGATCAGTCGTCCGCCGGGTCTGCTCTGTACGAACTCGACAAAAGTGGCGAACTTTGTGTCGCACATGCGAATACAGGTACATAAGATGACGACGTTGAATTCCATGTTTCATATGTATTTTGGTTGCATGCCGCCGGCGGCGCTGACACGAAGCAGAGTAAATGGCATGCGTAATTTAGTTGACATTATTTCACGTGAAAAAAAGGTTTGCAAAAAATGCTTGCATGACTAACCTTCCACGACACCCTGCGATATTCCTCAGCAGTGAGCAATGCCTGACCGTGATGAAGCCACCACCCTTCCCAGGTCATGTAACCGAACCGTGAAATCCTCGCGTAGTACATGACATTTGTTACCAGGGATTGCCAGGACGTGCCGGCCACAACGCGGCCAGCGGTGTTGTTGGCGGGGCACCTGCCCAGGCCAAATAACCTCCGTCCATTGACTATGGCGTGTGCGTGTGCGTGGGGGGGGGGGGAGGATGACTGACTGGAGGGCAGATAATGAACGTAGACCGGGTGGGTAGTGTGGGAACTTGCGCGTGCGTATTGTGTGGTTCTCAAATAGTGGTGGTGGTTACATTAAGCCACCTGAACCATTAGCCACCTAAGCCACCTAAGCCATTCCCTAGCCAAATCTCAAAACGCACTTCAACATGTTGTCAAAAGGACTCCATAACCTTGGATTGTGTTGAAAGCTTGCCTTGTATCGAAAATTTCGCCACATGTATGGGTATCCAGATTGAGATTTCTCCACATCTCTGCCAAATATTGACATTTTGCGGCTAGTTATTTGATATCACCGACCGCGGTTAACGGATACCAGTATTTGTGTCTTCATTACCAGCGGGCAAGGTAGGTAAATTATTGATCTGAGCGTGGATTGCGAGCTTAACTAGCTTGAGAGAACGTGGAAAGAAATTGTGCATAGGCCATAGTCATGTATCTGCTTGGATCACCATGTCCAATCTGAGAGCCTGAGCGGCACATGAGAGCCTCTAACTGGCATTCGAAAGCCCGGTTCACGGAGGGCCGGAGTCTGGCCGACCTCCGGTTAGTGCGTGGGGGTCCTCACGAGCCCCCAATGGGCTATTGTCGTCAATGCCCCGAGGCCATGTGTCCCTATTTGCGCCTTTGGTCCCAAGCGGTGCCGGTTGGGCTCTTGGTCGCAGGGAGAGCCTCTGAGCGACCAAAAGTGTCCCGAAACACTAACAAGACCCCGGGTGTCAAAAGAGCTGCGGGGATACAGCTCATGTTTCTGGCGACGGGACGGGCCGCTGAGCGACTAGTAAAACTCCAACACCCAGGCGAGCAATTACATCTCCCCAAGGACCCCTGAACAGTCAAAGGTGTCCATTGGTGACCAGAGTGGCCCTTGGTGGCCAGTGCGGTCCTTTAGCAGACGCCACCGGCCACGGAGGATTCCCAATGGCCAGAGCTGGGCCCTCAGGGACCAGAAGGGCCGCGAATGACTAAGGCGGCCCATTACCGGTCGGAGATACCCTGAGCACGCAGGACCCCGACCGGCCAATGCTACCCATGGGCGACCAAAGGGCCTCTAGATGGTCTCGAGGTCCGCTTGGTTTCCTGATCCAGCTTTGAATACCCTTCGCAGCTATAGCGGCCCGTACCCTACCAGAATGTCCCAGGTGGTCAGGAAGGTTCATTAAATGGCAATATGGGTCCCTGTTTTCCACGTGGGCCATACCGAGCATCCAGAAGAAACTAATTTGCTACTGCCTAAAATGGTTTTGGCAAAAAACCTCTTTGAGCATCTCGGATTCACTGGTCATTGTTTCATGGACTGTCGCGAGCCGAGGAGCACTCTCAAAGTGCGCCTAAATGTATGTATTTCCGTAGACAAAAGAACGCCACTCGCAGAGCAAATCTATTTCGAAGCTACCAAATGAGATAAGTTTTTGCTTGGCTGCTAAGCCCGCAAAATACTGAACGTGAACAACGTACACCGCTGCAGTTGCTTAACGGGGTGGCAGAGTGGTTGTAAGAGTTTCGAAGTTCGAAGATCAGAACGCAACGATGCTGGGCGAGGTGAGCGAACTGCACTTAGGTAAACTTCAAGTAATTTCAAGTGTACGGCTCTGGTCGGATTACCGCCATTAGATCCCCTCAAACTAGGCGATTGGAGTTTGGCAGAACAGGCGTTCTTTCTGGCCTTAATCCCGGTCAATACGAGTGAAACTGTAGAACTTGAAACGTGTCGCTGATTAGTGCCACAACACGCGGACGACACAAAGCCGAGCAACAATCAATATATGTTTATGATGCTGTTAAAATATACACCACGCAGGAAAGACAATTCTAAAAAATAAACCAGGTACAAACACGGTGCTTTAAGTGTGACTAGCAGTCAGCTGCACTCAATTGAACGCGACATCACAGTTTTCGCTTTCTTTGTTTCTTTTACATGTGAAGCAATTATAAACCTTCTATACATTTGATAATACTTTGATCTCCCACTTTTAATGCTTTCCTTGTACTTAGGTGCCAAAACGCTCGATGAGGGAGACGCAAATTCATCGCTTTGGGAATTGGACATTGGAGGGGGGGGGGGGGGGACGGTGGCCATGCCCCCAAAAATGCAAGCCAGAACAAGTGTGGTCAATTATTAACCAAACTACAAGCTTATTGCCAGTCGCGAGATCTCGTCAAAGCCAGTCCACTGGTGGCTTCCGCTAGGCTGTCGTCTTGGTTTTGGAATGGCGGGTGGTCGCATCGACCCCTATCAGTCCATGTTTTAAAAACAGCGAATCAGGGCGAGGATTGGTGACTTGTGTACAGTAGCGCAGGAGGAGGGGGCACAGGGGGCACGTGCCCCCCATAAGGAACCTACCATTCAGGGTCCCATTTGAGGACCCGATAGGCTCGAAAGGCTGTCCGGAGGACGTGTTCAGGGCCGCGGCCTGCAAGGCCAAGCACTCCAATGCCAGCCAGCAGGCCCTGCGCGCTGATCAAAGGTCTCTGAGTCGATCTGGGTCTATGCATGGGCCCGACACCACCAGTAACGCACAGTCGGCTCCGCGGCGATATGGGCCTGAGGATCTGTTTCTCAAGCATAGGCAAATCCAGAGCCAGCAATTTGCAATGGCCAGGGCCCCGGCGTCTGTCAATGTCCCACAGCGCCCGACAGGACATTGTGTTGTCAGGGAGCTCCGAAGCGGCCAGAGGCAGTGTCCGAGGAGGCCCAAGGGGCTTTCAGGGCGCGCCGGGTCCAACGATCAAGGGGCCGATTTGAGAGCTTAAGGGCACGAAGGGCTGATCAGTCTTGTTCAGGGGCCTCGGCCTGCGGGACTGGCCTCCAAATGAGTCATCGATCGATCGAGTCACCCGTGCATAGATCAAGAGCCCCCTGAGCCGATAAGGGCCTATATGCCGGTCAGGCTCCACCAGTACCGCGCAGCCTGCTCCGTATTGGTATGGGCCCGAGGACCCACTTCCCAACCAGTTACAAGACCCGGGCCAGCGACTTACACCGGTCGGAACCCCTGTATCTGTCAGGGACCCACAGCACCTAACAGAGGGTTCAGTGCTCACAAGGGGTCCCCGAGCCGAACAAGGGCGGTATTCTATTAGGCCTCAGGAGGGGCTTGGGCGGCCCAATGGAATTGGCGATCAAAGGTCCGGTTGGAGGGTATGAGGGCCTAAAGGGCTGACTGTGTGTCACATAGTCACAATCCCGCAGGTTGGCGACCTAAAGTACCAGCCAGCGATCCTCTTGCACCGTTTGAGGACACCCTTAGTCAATGTGGTTGTCCATGTATGAGTTTGAGTTTAAGCTACTTCTCTTTACTTGCTATAGCATAGCGATTTTTAACAAACTTATCAGGGGGTCAAGCTCTAATTTGTGTCAATTATGAAGGTGTGCAATTATGTTAATCATTGTGTCAATTATGAAGCACACCCGAGCAGCCCGATTTTTATATTGGACTTGCGTTTCACCTTAATTCCTTGTTTTTCAGACTGCCACTTCGCAATTTCAACAGATTACTCAGAAAATAAAGCTCTATCAGTGCAACGATTTTGATGTACATCCAAGTAGCCTGATTTTGGCCTTTGAACTTTTGAGTACGCCGTAGCTTCTTTGCATTCATAGTCTGGCTCAAAGCAATTCCAAGAGAATGATGAGGAAATGGAGCTTGATCAGTCCACCGACTTTGAAGGTAATCCGAACAAGTCCAATGTTTTCACCCTGGACTCCTTGACCGACTATAGCAATTTTGCTTTCGGACCCGCTACATTACACTTACACCAGAAGGATCAGGAAGTTAAGAGCTATCTTTGTGCTGATTTCCAGACATATTGAAAGTCTGCGAAGATGGATCCGAACGCCAATCTGAGCATCGTTCCAATTTGACGCGCGTAAACGTTGCGTTGTTTGGGTTCATACTCTTTTGTCACAGCCACGCCAGAAATGTATCATGCAATAGGTCTTGGCCTTATATCAGCTAGGACGGCTTATTGTAAGTCCTTGGCTTGCACTTCCAGTGTTTGTTCGCATTGGGCATATGCCCGCTCTTGTGTGTTGCAGGAGACGTCTTATGTACGTGTTATTCCGTCGTTAAGTATAAAAGTGAACACCTGCAGGTTAGTGAATGGAACCAATGTTAAATGGCCTTGAATAGAACCGCGGACCACATGTCTGGGTAGTCATCATTTTGTAGTACAGAGCCGGTAGCCTTGCCTAGTTGCTTCTTGGCTTGCCTCTGAGGCTTAGTTTCGCAAAATAGGTATGGGGGAGAGGGGGGAGGGCTGGGCCATGGCAAATTGATGCAACCTTTCCATGGAATGCACCAACAAATGGGTATTGTCCAGGTCCGGCCATCTTTCTGCTTTAAACACAGGGGAACCCAACTTGGTGCAGGGGAGGGTAATGCCAGCATAGGCCTCCCTAACTTAAAAGGAAACCACACCCCTTCCTTGCTCCATAGAACATTGAATGTAGAACTTAGAACACTGAATGTGGAACAATATTGGGTTGATCTATATTGGAGAAGATATTATGCTGCCCACATGTGTGCTGGATATTCGGCCAATTGTAGATAATCTGGAAGGGCATCTGACCATATTTTAATTGCTTAAAACTGCTGTTATGTATCACATGCTGGCTGGTTGTAAAAGCTTAACAATTCCCTGTGTTGTTGCACAGTTAGTTGAATAAGCACCACTACATTGGGGTCTTGTCTTCATGCTCATCCTCACATGTTCTCATAAACAAATAAACAGGGGATCACAAGCATTGTTTTCTTAACATCCCACACCACTCCTCCCATCAGACCATACCAGTACAGCATCCAATTCTTGGCCAGTAATCTTGCTGCACTGTCCTGGGCAGCTGATAGAGGCCAGTTCAGTATGCAAGAACAGCTTTGCACATACTAGGGCAGTCCTAGGGTACTCTCTGCCCCCCCCCCCCCATGGAATCTGCTGGGGCATGAGTGCATGGTGGTTCCGTGCACCCAGTTCAATAAGTCTGCTGTGCAGCTACTGCCTCCATGTGTGGATGAGCACCAGGGGACATCATCCTTCCTGCAGGGCCCAGCATTTTGGATCACACTCATGCAGATATTAACTGATCAGGTGCACCCACCTTTACATGAGTTTTGCACACCTATATCCAATAAGAAAAAAATTGACATGGGGGAAAAGGGAAGTACAGGCAGATCATTAGATGTGTGGATTCACACCAAAGTTGACAAAAGGTGAAGCAAATACATATTAATCCAAAACACACCAAAATTTATGCAAGTCACCTCTTGCATAGTTGGATTTTGCAGGGGTTATGGAGCTGACAGGCTTTCTTAGCACTAAGCCATTTGTAAGTGATTAATGTTTCAGCTATGCCAGGAGGTTGTCCAGTATCAGGCACTGGCATCCACAGCACCCATTCTTATCTGGGTACAGACATGAGGTCCACAGCACCCTTTCTTGTCTGGGTACAGACATGACATCCACAGCACCCCTTCTTGTCTGGGTACAGACATGACATCCACAGCTCCCTTTCTTTCTGGGTACAGACATGATGTCCACAGCACCCCTTCTTGTCAGGGTATGGACATGATATCCACAGCACCCTTTCTTATCTGGGTATGGGCATGATGTCCACAGTACCCTTTCTTATCTGGGTATGGGCATGATGTCCACAGCACCCTTTTTTATCTGGGTACAGACATGATGTCCACAGCACCACTTCTTGTCTGGGTATGGACATGACGTCCATGGCACCTCTTCTTGCCTGGGTACGTACATGACGTCCACAGCACTCTTTCTGGTCTGGGGTAGGGTGGGTACAGATATGACGTCCACGACGCCCCTTCTGGTCTGGGCACAGACATGGCGTCCACAGCACCCATTCTGATCTGGGGTAGGGTGGGTACGGACATGACGTCCACGGGACCCCTTCCGGTTTGGGGTACGGCGGGCACGGATGTGGTGCATCTTCACACACTATATCTTACATTATTTGAAATGATATTTGAAATATGTGAACATTGAATGTGTGCTGTTGTCCCCTGCCGTCTTTCAGGGATACCCTTCGCGAGATACTGTGACCCGCCAAAAACGGCATTGTCACCAGGTTGCTAGGCGCAGAACAGAAATCGACATCTGCTGACTCGACCAACAGCCTTTCTGTGACTACCACCTACCGCTTAGCTATGGGTGTACCCATGGTTGCTGCCTTATGCTATATATGTAGCATAAAGCCCGACCATATTTAACAAGCGCCCGCGTGGCCGGCTAGATACCCTTTGCTCGGGGAGGGTCAACTTTGACCCCCCTGAGATCTCGGGAACTAAGAAAGCTATTGACACCAAATTTATGGGGATGTGTTGACCTGTACGTGAACTCACTTAGTTCAAAGTTTTAGGTCCTAGGTCATGACCTTCGGGTCAGTAAAGGTCAAGCAAGGTCAAATTCCAGGTTGGTCTCCAAAGTGCCCCCAGAACCTAGATAACGTTCTAAGCAAAGGTCACGTGCTCACCTAAGGTCAGTGACCTTTTGGACCTTTTGAAGGTCATGGTACCAAAATATTAAAAGACTGCTCTGAGTTTTGCATTTGAACAAGTGACAAAGATTACGTTAGGCAGTATGTTTCTTAAAACAATGTTAACCTGGGTCATTTTAGGTCAGTGACCTTTTATGACCTCTAAGAAGTCCATGGAAGATGTATAATGCGGTTCCTGCTATCAATCAATCGAAGTGGGTACCAGACACTACCCCATACAGCAAACCCTAAAGTAATAAAGGGGTTGATTATGGCCTTGGTTTGACCCTCATACCTGACCCTAGGTTAACGTAATTTGCCATTCAGTATTTGTGTTGCCTAAGAAAGCATCTCAGAGATGTATGGTTCCATCTAACACACCGTTGTTGCAATCAGGTTGAAAGATTCCCAAGGAATGGATCGTTAGTTACTCAGATACGTATAAAAAGCACCGATGATGAAAACGCTAGAGACACATCGCCACGATAACATGTACAGTATCCACCACCCACCACCTAATAACTCTCATCCTGCGAAGCGTTTGTCAGTTTTCGGTTGGAGAGAGTGCGTTAATAAACATGCTTTCTCAAATTTGAAAGCGTGTTCTGTCATTGCGCGTCTGATGAATGTCAGTGGTTTCCGTCAGTCGTTGTCGTGTCCATGTCCCGTCATGTTCGTGGCGCATGCGCTCCAGAGGTGCCCCGTCGCGTAAGTGCATTGTCAGGCGTCGCGCGATTGTCGTGATTACGCCAATGTAGTGTATGGAACGAAGTTTGCGGCCTTCGAGATAGCATTGAAAGTGATATGCTACATTGGTGCATTTTAGCCCGTCGGGCTTGCCAGGGGTGTTCCTCATAGGAAAGTTAGAGATTTGCCTATTGTGATAATAAATGGCAATGTATACTCTGTGGTCGTTCTCGCCTTTTACGTGTCGAGAGACGATTTTCCGTAGTTTTTTCGCCATCTTTGTATGCAGATGCTATTTGCTTTTACTTATACACTTGGACGGTTGGTAGTTTGTCATCTTGGTTTATTGTTAAAGTGTCTTGTCACGTGTCATCGCATTTCCGCTTTCAACCCCGGAATTTGAAGAAAAACACGATTCCCAGGATCTGTCTGATTCGTACCAATTCCGACTGTAGTCCTGTACGATCAGAGCAGTGCTTAAATGCATGTTTAATGAATGAAAACGAAGTACAAGCGACACGTGATAAAACGCTTTAACAATAAACCACGACAAGACAACCAGCCAACCGTCCAACTGTATTATACAAATCATATGACATTTGCCTACAAACAAGACGAAAAAGCTCTGCGTGAAATCATTTCTCAATACGTAAAGGCGAGAACGACCACAGAATACGTTGTAATTTATTACCGCAATAGGCAAATCTCTGACTTATTCGGAACAGCCTTGTAAAGCCGACAAACTAAAATGTGCCAATGTAGTGTATCAATTGAAATGTAATCTAGCCTGCAAACTTTGTTCCATAAACAACATTGGCGTAACCACGACACTATCACGACACCCGGTAATGTACTTCCGAGGCTGCATTGTCAGGCGTCGTGGGAGTGTCGTGATTGCAATACATGCGCTCCTGACGCGACGGCGCACCTCTGCAGCGCATGCGACACGAACATGACGGGACATGGACACGACGACTAACGGAAAGCACTGACATTCCTCAGACGCGCAATGACAGAAGACTGCTTTCAAATTTGAGAAAGCATGTTTATTAACGCACCCTCTCCAACCGCAAACAAACAAAGGCCTGCACGCAACTCTTGAGGTATTAGGTGGTGGGCAATAGATACTGTAGATGCGATTGTGGTGATGTGTCTGTGGTATTCTGATGGGCGCATTTTATACGTATCCAAACAACGATCATAATTTTTGTCTTCTGTTAAAATCGATCATTTATGATGGCGATGCACACCTTTCATCCTTGAAAAGTCTGAACTTGTTGCTTGTGGCATTTATATTTTTCCGACGATGAGATAATGGCTCGAAGCCTTAGAATGTACAGATATCGTCGGAATATATGAGTGATTTTGCACGAACAATTTTAAATCGTAACACACACCCGCATGGCCGTTCAAATACCCTTTCGCTCGGGTGTGGGTGGGAGATCAAGTTCGATCCCCTGAGATCTCGGAAACTAAGAGAGCTAGAGAGATTAAGTTCACATTATGGGCTGGTCCGCACGTGAACTTTTAAGGCTCCTAGGTCATGAACTTGCGGACAAATAAGGTCAAACAATGTCAGACTCCAAATTGGTGTTTAAAATGCTCCCAAAGTCCTCACGCCACCGCCGTGAAGCAAACTACCTGTTTTAAGCGCGAGGTTAACTTGTGTCCAATCATGCCTATTAAGTTAAGCGACCTTATTTTCGAAAGTCAGGGTAAGCCAAATGCCTTACGAGATTGGTTCTATTTTGCCATCAGGATAAGCGTCAGGGACTACGCTAGGCGGCATGCTCTTAAAAACAAGGATGTTCAGGCTGCGTCATTTTATGTCAGGGACCTATTCTGACCTTAAAAAGTCCATGGAGCGTGTTTGTTATGGTCCCTGTCGTTGATAAATTCAAAGTGAGCTCCAGAAGCTACCCCATAAACCAAGCTCTCGAGTAAAAAGCAAGTTAATTTTGACCTCGGTCTGACCTTTATACCTGACTCTTAGGTCGCTGGAATTGGTTGTCATTCTAAATTGAATCGGTGTTCTGCCTAAGAAACTCTCAGATATGTATGGCTTCATCTAGTACTCTGTTGTGGCAAAACATGGTACCGGCTCTCTGAAAATGGTCATCGCTGACAGCCATGGCCTGACTTTGACGGGCCATAGGTTATGGACTTTACAAGGCACGTCTGATTTGGGCATGAAAACATCCGCTATTCAATTCTCCACAATTATGCAAATTTTGGGCCGGCTACACCGCGCGGTTCGGAAATTGCTGTGGAAAAACCCCCGCGGTCAATTTGACCCCCATCCTAGTGCGTGTTAACGACACTAAGTCAAAAAACCCGGAGCCACAAGCAATGCATCAAAAAGCTCGTGAATGCGGAATCAGCGGTTGTACATGCATGAAGGAAAACAGTATGCAAAGATATACGGGCCTGTCTTTATATATATATATATATATATATATATATATATATATATATATATATATATATTACCTCCTTAAACATAAACAAGCCCACGCTTATACCCTCCCCCCACAGAAAATTGAAATGGAGCCGAACTCGTGGGTGTTCCTTTTTCCTCACCGTAATGGAGTGTGTTGTAATGTTGGCTTACGGTAGGAGAATGAGTGGATGGATTGGGGTTGCACGTAACCTAATCGATGGAATTTGGTGACGCGGGATAACCCGATTCATCGCAGATTGTTGGATTCTTGTAGCACGCATTATCGCATTGTAGCCCAGTGTTTCGCCTTTTTGCTCTTGGTTTCAGCTCGGAGTGTAATAAAGGACGTGTTTTACATTTGCATGGGTTTGGAACTGAAATAGCCGTCTTGAATATCATTCGGTGCATTAACAGCCCTGCTCTTACCAAACACCTAAACCCTTCTAGCTTCTGAACTACACGCCCGCGAAGATGTGCAGACATTTCTTGCGGACTTTCAAAGGCCACCCAGGCATCCATGACGCCATGATAACGTCATTCAATTCTGCTATTCCATTGGCCCCGTGGCGGTCATTGCTAGAACAATATAAGTGTCGAGTTGTTCACATCTGGCGTTCATGAGCATGATATCCAGATAAACCGGTCGTCAGTTAGCTCTCAACTAATGTTGTGTGAGTTGCAATGACGCAATCAAATGAATCAGGTATTGAGGAGCATGTGTAGTAAATAGAAATATTGTGTTGTCTAGACAGTCTTTTCTATTAAAGGTATAACAACAGTTATAATTGAGCTTATTTCACCCTATCTGTTGGCTGCTTCAATGTCTCCAAATGTGGAACATTCTCTTAAAGAGCAGTGAAATATGCAGCTTCCACGGCTTATTTAGAAAATTTGGCGACTTTCACGGCTTAAAGCTAGTTTTGCGACCAACAGAAATTGCAGCAGTTTGGTGATCAGCATGTCACATGTGGTCTTTCAAGCATGTTGGCCCATTACAGGTTTCTCGAGGATTGTACAAGTGAGACAGTCATTCACCATACCTCATCATGGCAGAGAGTGACAAGTTGAACTGGATGTATGAGGGTAACAAGTCAACCTTGAATAGAGAGGAATACTTGCTTGGTAAGCAAATTGATAGTAACTTTGAGAGACAGCAGGATGAGGAGAAGGCGGCAGGTCCAGTGTATAAAGTGGAGCACGAAATTCTTCCCGGATCCGTGGCGCGGAGGGATCTTGGCCAGATGCAAGTGGATCTAGCCAGGAAGATACAAGAAGACCCGCTTTTTCAAATACGTAAGCAGGAGGATCAAGCATTGCAGGAGCTAATGGATAACCCGATAAAGCGCAAACAACTAGAAAAGTTACGAAAAGCGGAGGCAGAAGGAGAGGACGGTAACAAGAAAAAGAAACACAAGAAACAGGAAGAAGATATTGACAAAAAGCTCTTTGCTAAGATGGCTTTGTTGCTCCAGAATGGCTCCGAGTCTAGTGATTCGGACAGCGATGATCATGAGCCTAAAAGAAAAAGAAAACGAAGAAAAAGAAGAAGGATGCGTCAAAGTCCAAAAAGAAATCTCACCGTAAGGAAAAGAAAAACGGCATCGAAGCAGTTCCAGTAGCAGTTCCGGAAGTGAATCGCCCGCGCCAGCCAAGAAGAAGAAGAAGCCGTCCCGCAAGCGGTCGCGGTCGCGGAGCTCCAGCGCTGGAGACCGGCGCAGCGGGAGTGAGGGGGCCTGCCGTGCGCGGCAGACGGCCCGGCCCGACGGCGTGCCATCCAGGCGACACGCGGACAGGTGGGTGTCGAGGCGGACGGCCGCTGGGCCACCAGACGACAGGTGGGTGTGGAGGCGGGACGGCCGCTGGGCCACCAGATGAGCGGTCCGATCGCTGACGCTGCTGTGTTTCAGGCACGACGAGCACCTGAGATGTGTTATACACCGCACATATATGGTTGAAACGAAGGGTTCATTTTCTTTTGTCGCATTACAGGTTGATGAAGTGAGCAATGCTTCTCAGTCCTATGGAATTTGTGGAGCTACTGTATATGTACGACATTTCATTAGTCGAGCATATCAATGACCGTATTGCACGTCCGAGGTTTGCTTTCACTAAATGCAGGACGGGAGAGGCGACTCTACACTGTATCTTAAAAACCTGCAGCATCATCAGATGTTTTGTCTTTGCCTCGTTTTTTGCAGCTCTTTATCTCAGGACACCGTCGAGAAAATGAAGTGTCATTTCATTGTTTTTGCGTTCATTGCTGGAATGCTTATTGAATATGGCGTGTAGGTGAGATAACCGCGGGGTGGGGGAAACGTTGGGGAGTGAACGTATCTCTTAAAAACAACGAGAAAACTATCGCTGCGCATGTGACGTGGCACGGAGATAACGGCCTTAACGCATCACCTGTGGCCGTCGGTCCTCCCTGCCGCTCAGTTCGGTCGTCCAGTGACGCCGCCCGCTGCTCGCAGTCCAGGGCTGACCTGTCCAGCTGAGGGCAGCGGCCCCGAGCCCCTCCAACTTGATACAATGTCACACCCCTGTTACGCACTGCCCACAGAACTTGACCACGCCCTTGATCACGTCCGTTCTCGGCCATTCACTTGATCACGATAGGTGATCGCCCAGCTGGCAGCGCTGCGTCCACTTCGATTGATCACGATTGGTGTAACTCGGTTGCGGGATATCCGTGTCGTGCCGTTTGTCTCCATCCCCGACCTCGTAGGAGTTCAGTGGACGGTGGCTGACGTGGCCGTCATTTTGAACGCCGTGACACGTCTGAGTAGTGAACTGATGCCGTGTATCGTTTATTCCACCAGTGCAAGCCGTCCGGAGAAGGACGGCGGAGCCGGGGAGAAGTGTGGCAGAGGACGGGACGGCAGAGGCGGTGAAAGGCACAGGCTGGAGGAGGGCAGCCGCGGTGCAGACAGGGAACGAGCGAAGCAGGACAGCAGAGGTGGACACAGGGACCGAGGAGAGCAGGACAACAGAGGCGGTCACAGGGACCGAGGAGAGCAGGACAACAGAGGCGGTCACAGGGACCGAGCAGAGCGGGGGAGCAGAGGCGGTCAAAGGGACCGAGCAGAGCGGGACAGCAAAGGCAGTCGCAGAGATAAAACCGAGCGGGACGGCAGAGACGGATATAGAGAGCGAACGGAACGGAGCGGCAGGGACGAAGACAGGGACCGACGAGGGACGAACGGCAGTGGAGGAGGCCGGAACCAGTCGGAGAAGGTGCGAGGACGAGGTAGCGTCCTGTCGCAGGAGGAGATGGATAGGAAGCGTCAAGAAATGATGGACAACGCCAAGCTCCGAGATCAGCAGCGGGCAGACAACCTAGCCAGGTCAGTGTCGACACAGGACAGGTGCTGCATCGCTAACATTGCCAGCGTAGTGGCTGCACTTTCATTCAACAAAGCACACGGTAACATACATTCTTAACGCCTTAGACGATCTAGTTCATACCGTTTTGTATTTGCCTTAGAGATGAATAAATGGGATTGGTTGAACAGGTAAGACAAATAGGACAAATAAGATGGGATTACAGGGTTTGACGTGGTTAGCCTTGTTGGGATGTTTGAGGGCGGCCGGTAACCATACTATGTCTGCTGTCCAGGGACGGTGCATGGGGATCAGTCATCGGAACCCAAACCATTTGTGCAGTATGCGGCCTATGAATGTATTTGGATGTATCGGTACATCTTACGTCGTGCAGATACGTGTTTAGTGTTACGTGGCTACTCAGTCACCACCGCTCTCGCTATTTAACCCTAGGCTTCCCTGGGCCCAGTCGCTGGATCAACAAGCCAGCCGGGTTTGCTGCCGTGTTCAGGCGCAATGCCTGTCATGTGACCCTGGAGTGCGCCGTGACGTACCGCTCGAACCGCCTGGTGACCCGGCCACGCGCCTGTGTCCAGGTACGACAGCGAGCAGGCGCGGGAGCAGCAGGAGCACGAGAAGGGCAGCGGCGAGGCGTCGTTTGTGCGGGACCAGCTGCGCGCCGCCGCCGACCGGGGCACCGTCGAGCAGCGCATCCGCTCCAACCGCTACAACATCCAGCGCTCGGCCGCCGCCATGGACCGCAGCTTCGTCAAGCGGTGACGGCCGGCCGGCACGATCTCGGTGTTCCGAAGGCCAGGCGTGTCATGTTTCTGAACTCGGCCCGCCCGCACTGCTGTCGCGCTGTGAGGGCCGTGGGCGGACACTCGACAGGCACCCACTCACGCACGCACAGAGAACTTGCCCAGTATGCCCGCGAATGCTGCAGAACTGTGCCACAGGTGCGCTGGGCGGATAAGTGTTGGTACTGTTTGTAAAATACAAATGATGTATTTGATTTTTTACGTCCGCAAATTAACAAGCCCGACGAAGAAAGCACACATCTTCAACGGGCAGCGCACTGAGCAGGATTTGAGAACACGTAAATGATCACGTGCAACATTTATAATCTAAACACTGTCAAAAACACGGCTGTTAACGGCGATGACCGCATTTCTCAACACGAAAATGTAACGTTTGTCTATAGCCACGTCTCGCCGTACCCAAGAGCCATCCGTGCGCGAAATCTAGATGCTGGAAACGAGCTTTTCGTTCCTCACCTACAGAGTATACCTCTAATCTACAAACCTGGTCAGCACTGAATCATCACAGCGGCACAAGCGCATGAACTGAGCTGATTGCAACAACAAGTCAACAGACGCGGAACAGCGCTGACCCAGAAAACACTTGATAAATATCACACTTATCTGCGGTCCGTGCCCGGACGGGAGGACGGGATCTGATCTTCGGCATGCCCTGTGCGCGCGCAGGGCGCGCCGAAGATCATATCCTCTATCAGATCGGCCCAAGGATCAGCGCAGCCTGGTTGGCCACCGACGACGCGCCGGCTCCGCCAGGCTGGCGGCAGCGCTCCGCCCGGTCGGGCATCTACTTATATATCTGCCACCGGTGGCACGCTCCTGGCGTTTTTGGCAGCCTCCCATTCCAGGGGTTCGTAAAGCCCCCAGGGGTGCCGACAGCGTAGTGGTTAACGCGTCTGCGTTGACCACTGCGCGTCTGGGAAACCAAAGGCGCTGGGTTCGGTTCCCCGCGGTGCCTGCCCTTCCTGCCAGGGTGGGAGGGAGGCGAGGCTATATAGCCTCAGTAGTTGGGTGCGTCGCAAAGCCCCAGTGACGACAACGACGACGTGAGATCCTTACGGTCCCCATCGACCTGTTCCCCAATTCCGAAAACAGGCTCGCTCTGGTCTAGTCGCGAGTGGGCTGCCGAATACGTGGCTGGCACCGATGCCTGGCCCCATGAGACCGCCAGGCCAGACCGGTGGACGCCTCCCCGCACCACCCAGGCTCTCATCCGCCACACGGGGCCGTGTGCGACCAGCGGCCGTCTCCTGCGAGCATGGTTGCTGTGGCTGCTGGGCCCCGGTGCTGGCTGGTGGACAGCGGTGCTGGATTCTGGACCGCTGCTGGGCTCGGAGATCGGTCTCAGCCTCACAGCACGGTCTCCAGCTCGGCGATCTCCACAGAGGCGGGTCTGCGACAGGTCAGCAGTCAACAGCTGATCATGGCTGCGACGGCGTGGGACACGGCCTCCGCGCCTACAGTGAATTCAAATCCGGAAGTTAGTACCTTTAGCTCGAACGTTGATAGATGACAAGTCACAGCGCTTCACTTTCAGCACTGCATGTGTGAATAAACACAGTGAAGCAGAAGCCACTCTGAAAGTACACCCCTGGCGTCCCCAGGTAAGGTCTTCCCGCGACACGGTGCAGCTGGCCCTGCTGCCGGGCCCACACCCAGCGAGCCAGACGTGAGCGGCAGGGCCGGTGTCCGAGACGGCGCTCACCTCTCCTACTGTCGGTGGCCGAGACGGTGCTCACCTCTGCTGCTGTCGGTGGCCGAGACGATGCTCACCTCTGCTGCTGTCGGTGGCCAAGACGGTGCTCACCTCTGCTGCTGTCTGTGGCCGAGACGGCGCTCACCTCTGCTGCTGTCGGTAGCCGAGACGGTGCTCACCTCTGCTGCTGTCGGTAGCGGAGACGGTGCTCACCTCTGCTGCTGTCGGTGGCCGAGACGGTACTCACCTCTGCTGCTGTCGGTGGCCGCTGAATCTGTCCGGGTTAAGTCGGATGAACTCAGCAGACTGTTGTGTGTACATGTGGTGGCGAACAGCGCTGGGGAGGCCCCGCTCGGGCCGCGTCACGATAGGCCTGGGACGACGATCCCGCCGCGCTTCAGTGGCAGACACTGCACCGGTCACCGAGCCCCACAGAGGTCAGCGGTAGACATTGGGGACCGGTCGCAGCGCTCAGTGGCAGACAATGCACCGGTCACCGACCCCCGCAGAGGTCAGGCAGCAGACACCACTGGGGATCGACCGCAGCGCTCAGTGGCAGACACTGCAACGATCGCCGACCCCCGCAGAGGTCAGCAGCAGACAACCGCTGAAGATCGACCGCAGCGCTCAGTGGCCGACACTGGACCGGTCACCGACCCCCGCAGAGGTCAGTAGCAGACATGCGAGGATCGACCGCTGCGCTTAGTGGCAGACGCTGGACGGTCACGACCCCCGAAGAGGTCAGCAGCAGACACTGCTGAGGATCGACCGCTGCGCTCAGTGGCGGACACTGGACCGGTCACCGAGCCCCGCAGAGGTCAGCAGCAGACAACTGCTGAGGATCGACCGCTGCGCTTCAGTGGCAGAACACTGGACCGGTCACCGAGCCCCGCAGAGATCAGCAGGCAGACACTGCTGAGGGATCGACCGCTGCGCTTCAGCGGCCAGGACACTGGACCGGTCAACCGAGCCCCGCAGCGATCAGCAGCAGACACTGCGTGCGGATCGACCGCTGCGGCTCAGTCGCAGACACTGGACCGGTCACCGCGGCCCCGCAGCAGATCCGCCAGCAGACACTGCTGAGGATCGACCGCTGCGCTCAGTGGCAGACACTGGACCGGGTCACCGAGCCCCGCAGAGATTCAGCAGCAGACGCTATTGGGGAACCGGCCCGCAGCGCCTCCGTGGCAGACACTGCACGGTCACCAACCCCCGCAGAGGTCAGCGGTAGACACCATCGGGAACCGGTCCTCGAGACAGGTCAATCAGGTCACATCGGGTCGTATGGCACCGGATCAGGCTCGGTCAGGTCCACGGATGCCATATCTCCACATCGTTTTGGTATCCAGGTTCAGCACGTACTGTGGGTCAGACAGCTTGTTAAACAGCGTTGTGAGTTATGATCGCCTTACACCAGGCTCCGCATGAGCTCACCAAAGGCCTGCACTAGTGGAACCACCAGTGGATCTGGCGGAACCGCCAGCGGATCTGGTGGGCCCCGATTGAAGTAAGTTTTACGTGGGCGGGCCGTTTTTGTGCTTCGACCATACACGACAGAATCGAAGCAGACGGGACACCAGAATAACACAATGACGTGGTCGATGTGGCGCCTGGAGGCCATTCAAGTGATGACCCCGACGACTCGGGGTCATCACCCGAAGCTCAGCGCCAGAGACTGTCACCGACCTGTAGCGTTATAGGCGAGGGGGTTCACCAGTCTTTCGCTTGTTACTGAAGCACAATGGTTAATTGAGGCTTCTTTTGCCGACACATCGGCCTTAGAAAAGAAAACTGGAGACAATGGCTTAATGACAAGATTGATCAACATAGAGGAAACACGCTTATATTGACGGTGACTGACGCTTCAAGCTGTGCTTATGAACGCTAGACGCGACCGCAGGGTGATCGTGAGATCGCGACCGTCTCGTTGATGTGATGTGATATGATCGCGATAACTCGCGAGCTGGAAGCTGGAACACAGCTGGAAGCACAGCTGGAAACGAGCACTGCCAATATAACCAACGTTTGCTCTATAACGTCGCTTAATCAATTCTTCCTGGTATGCTGAACGCCGATGACTCAGAATAAAAACTCGGAACTCATAACGTCGAAAAACCGGGAGCTAATGGCCTTTCTTGGTGAAACGAAGCACAATGGCAATGTGTCTCTCTTTCATTTCACCGCCAAAGTAATACTGGTCCACAGTAGACATAAGTAGCCATTTTCGGCCAGAATGTGTTATCAGCAGTTACGATACTTCGGCTCGCCAGACTGCAGCCCGCCGTTGGAACCGGGCGCACGGGCAGCTCTAGCTTCAAAGGGCCCTCCGCGTCACGACCCTGCGAAAGCCGCCAGCGGTGGGACGCCGGCCTTGACAGCACATCCGGCTTAGGGTGGCTGTTGATCCTGCTGCGGCGCTCGCTGGCGACTCATAGGCGTCGGTGGCCGACCACGCGGCGCGCGGCGGTCAAAGCTGTGATGTATGTGCACACAGTGTACGTCGAGCAATGCACCACGAGCAAGCGTGCACAGGTGAGGCGCGCCGGCCGCGCCGGGGGCCCCGCCGTCGTTCGGGGCGCCGCCGCCGTTCGGGGGGACCCGCCCACCGTTGGGGCGCCGCCGCCGTTCGGGGGCGCCGCCACCGTCCGGGACGCCGTCACGTTCGAGAGCTCTGCCACGTCCGGGGGTACCACCCACCGTTTGGGGACGCCATACAGTCTGGGGACGCCGCGCCGTCAGGGGGTGCGCCGCCGCCGTGGGGGTGCTCGCCCGGGACGCCACTGCCGTCGGGGGGCGCCGCCGCCGCCGAGGGTTGCTGCCCGGGACCCACTGCCGTCCGGGGGCGGCCGCCGCCGCGTGGGGGTGCTCGCCCGGGACGCCCCACTGCCGTCGGGGCGCCGCCGCCCGCCGTCATGGGGTGCTCGCCGGGGACGCCAATGCCGTTCCGGGGGTGCCTCCGCCGCCGTCAGGGGTGCTCGCCAGGGGGACGCCACATCACGTCCGGGGGCGCCGCCGCACGTCCGTCAGGGGGTTGCTCGCCGGGACGCCACTGCCGTCCAGGGGGCGACGCCGACGTCCAGGGAGCGCGCGCCACCGTTGAGGGTCGTCGCAGCCGGCGCGCTTACTGGGTCGCATTGCAGCCGGACCACAACACAGCGCCGAGGAAGAGTCCCAGCCGTCCCGCGGCATGGACAGGGACTCTCTGGTTGTTGTGACCTTTCAGCCGCCGCACGTCCACCCTGGCCGGGCCGGCTGACTCTGTTTTGTCTCGCGCACACAGACTAGCGCCGCTGCGTACCCCTGGCGATGTCATCAATTGGTTTGGCTCACTCACACATGACAGGTCCTTGATATTAGCTCACGGTTGTACATCATATAATATGGCATCGTTTTGTCTCAAACTTTCCGAACTCCCTCGCGAAGTGAGGATGTTCTCAAACATTACGCGTGGAAGGCTTCGTGGGCGCGTGCACTAAAAGCCGCCTAATTCGCCCGAACCGGAGAACACCATCATTTGCCATTGTCCATGGTACCCACCACACAAAAGCGCCTGGCTTGGAAAATGCAGAATGGAATGGAAACAGAATGTCTCTTCTCTTCACGTCCGCAGAATTCGGCACCAGACGGTCATTCAACGGCATTCTTCGTAGGGAAGCGTGCCAAACAAACGTGGTGTTCCCAGGCATTTTCAAACTGTTATCGCCCTTTTAGCTCTGCATGGTCAAGTCTCACAATGCACCACCACATATGAATGATACTTGTGCAATGACAGCGATCCACTACGGGGTAAATGTGGTAAAACGCATCAGCCGATCTTCTATGTTCGTCTGTTTTTTCCGATGCAGCACAGCGATGCCGTAGCGTTCCCTTTGAGGTTAAGAACATATGCACAAGTGAACATAATGCAAGAGCCTTTAAAGCGGCATGCGCCGATAGGGCTTGAAGGAACATGCTTGTACCACATGCGGAGAACGCTGGCCGCGTGCTGTGATGTATTACGTACCCTCTGAGCTCTGCGCCATCTTTTGGTGGTAAACAGCACCACGAGTTCTTGCTGTGGGTAACAGGGGAGCGGATGTTCATAGTTGCATAAGCCGGGCTGCATACGGTTGGTATTGGCGTCCACGTCAGGTGCATACAAGATGAACTGAGACTGCTTTAGTCATGCTGGGTGTGGATGGAAACAGCTCAGAGCGGTAAATCAAATCCAGAACGGAACGTCGGAAAGTAAGACGTAGTGGTAGAAAGAAATAGAGCGAATGGCTGTGCAAATGGCCCGCCACTTGAGATAGAGCGCACAATCTGGAGCGAAGAAAGGCAGAGAGTGTGTGGACCAAACTGGAAAGCAGCTGACAGGCTTTCACGGAAACACGAAGCCAGAGATTCCCAAAAAGCTTACTGTCAAGACGAGATGAAGAGAATGCGCCATTCCTGACTGAGTCTTGAGCGGGTGGCAGGCAACAGCGCGGAGTACGAGGGAGCCGCGGGTGCAAGCCCGGCAGGGCGGCGATACCTTTTCTGCGGCGCTGTCTGTCGCATGGCGGCCAGGAAGCGTGAGCTGGGAGCGAAGCCGTTATCCAGGAGCTGGTCCTCGAGCTCGCGGATCCTGAGTCGCGCCACGTCCAGCTCTCGCTTTACCTGTAGCCATGGCCATGTATCACACTTGTACCTCCCACTGCAGACATTGAGACGCTTTGTGACGTTTTGGGACGGGCTGGACCTGCTCAGTTTTTACCTTGGTTCTCAAATGAGAGATTCAGGCCGCTAAGAAACTCGCCAATGGGCGTTGGACGGAGTACAAAAAACGTTGTTTTTTCGAAGAGCTACCTTTCCCCAATGCGTTTTAGAGTTTTCACTCCTTACTTAACACCAAGCAGGGCCGCAAGGCAGCACGGGGAGGCGGCCAGTGACGGCTGCCCCGCCAACTCCAGACCGAGTCACAGGTGGGCGCCGACCCCAGACCGACTCACAGGTGGGCGCCGACCCCAGACCGAGTCACAGGTGGGCGCCGACCCCAGACCGAGTCACAGGTGGGCGCCGACCCCAGACCGACTCACAGGTGGGCGCCGACCCCAGACCGAGTCACAGGTGGGCGCCGACCCCAGACCGAGTCACAGGTGGGCGCCAACTCCAGACCGAGTCACAGGTGGGCGCCGACCCCAGACCGAGACACAGGTGGGCGCCGACCCCAGACCAAGTCACAGGTGGGCGCCGACTCCGAACCAGTCACAGTGGGCGACCCCAGACCGCGTCACAGGTGGGCACAGGTGGGCGCCGACCCCAGACCGAGACACAGGTGGGCGCCGACCCCAGACCAAGTCACAGATATGTCACAGGTGAGCGTACACACGGCTACGTGACGTCTGGGCTGGGCTGGGCGTCAGACCTCCTCACCCCCCCCCCCCCCCAGCGGCGGCCTACCTTGAGCAGGTGGGTGTCGCAGATGGGGTCCCGGCAGTGGTGGTACTTGATTATGTCCTGCGCCTCGTACACCGCCCCTCGAAACGACAGCGACTTGCCCATGTTCTGCAACAGACGGTCGTCAGGCGCGGTCAGGGCTAGTCCAGACACGAGACGGGACGGGGCGGCGCTGGAGCGGTGCTGGCACGCGCCGGGTGCATGAGGCGCGTGCTCTAGCCTCTCTCGGGCATCTCATTCAAGAGAAACTTGTGCCCGGTGCATCAGTCATGATGTAGTTGGTGAAGTCATGGGGCACAAGTTGAACAGACGAGACGCACGGGTGACACATGCCCCCCCACGAGCTCGACAAACGAATAAACCGATCATCATTCAGTCAGCACCTTCCAAACGAACACAAACCAGTCCCGAAATGCGGATCACGATCCCCTGATCAGGCTGATTGTGGGAGCCGATGAAGTACGGTACCGAGGCGGACACGTCACACCAACCTGAAGAGCTAGTCCGAAACATGAGACAGATAGGCCCCCTGTGTCGGGCCGACTGTCCGTGACACTGGACTGACGGCAGCCAACGGAGACGGCCCAGGCCGACTGACCAGGCTGATGAGGGCACAGCAGCCGCCGCGGTCCGTTTTGGCCAGCTTGTTGCGGACGTACTTGAAGTAGCAGTGCTCGCAGGCCAGTATGGCGCAGGCCAGCAGTATGGCGCAGCCCAGCAGCAGGAAAGCTGACAAAAACTGGGGCAGCACGAGAGGTCGGCGGTCAGCAGGGGAGGCCGGAGGTCAGCAAGGAAGGCCAGAGGTCGGCAGGGGAGGTCGGCGGTCAGGCGAGCGGCCGGAGCGCGGACGGCAAGCGGCTCCGGCCACCGACGGGGAGCACCGGCAGCAGCTGAGGCGGCGGGCCGGTCGCCAGCCGTGGGCACGAGACGACCTCGGCGAGCGGCCACAGTGCCGCCTCACCACACCCGCTGAGCCAGCGGGCCCACTCAATGCACTGCTCACCGCGCGAGGCACAGAGTCGCTCTGGTGACGGACAGCCACATCACAGAGTCGCTCTGGCAACGGACGGCCGCGCCGCAGAGTCGCACGGAACAATAAAGCTCTCTCGACACTGTGTGGAGACCGGAAGTCAAATCTTTCGTCATGCTGAGTTTATTACCCAGTCTTTTGAAGCTTACGTTGGCGCGACGGCCTCGCGCCATTTATTCAGCGAAATCCAATCTCACGTCATCCGGGCAAAACCATTCGAAGCAAGAAGACAACTTGCCAAGGTGATGATCCAACTACAGTATCCGCACTACAAATCATCTACTACATCCTCCCCGGCATGTGATCCAATGATGAAGCGAAAAACATAAATTATTTTATTAGTTGGTTTAGTGACGGTTGCCTTCAGAGGCAATTTGGTCAATGGAATGGCGGCTCACTGGAAACTTCTATCAGAAGAGTCTCTACGTAAGCGGTCACGAAAAAACATCGCCCTGCATACCACGCATATAACCGATATCGATCACGTGAAACAATTTTTTGATTAACACCTTCGCATGTGCTCTTAGGTGTCTTTCGCGACCACGTGCGGTGGATAAAAGTGACTTCATTCCTATTTCCTGAGTGATTCTCCAACCGCCCCATGTAGCTGCCCGAATTTTTACTACCAGTCAGGTAATCAGTTTGACATATTCTCGACAAAACAGGTGGAAAGATACATAATGGTTGTATATATAATATGCATAATAACATACAAAGCATAATAATACAATGAATGTTGTCATCAGCAAAGCTTTCCACGGTTACTTTTCCACATCAAGCGGCTCATTAGACGCTTTTAAATTACCAATGGTGTTAACAGATATTGCTTAATTTACATGCATTTGGTCATGACACATAATGCATATTATGCATAAATGCCCACCAATCGATGCAAGTTGAAGAGGATATCGATAATACATCCATTGGCCCGACCGTGTGCTAGTGTGGGGCAGCTTTCCCATCGATGGTCGCACCAAGTCAGCTGTACTATCGATGGTCACACCGAGTCAGCTGTATCATCGATGGTCACACCAAGTCAGCTGTACTATCGATGGTCACACCGAGTCAGCTGTATTATCGATGGTCACACCGGGTCAGCTGTATTATCGATGGTCGCACCGGGTCAGCTTTCCCATCGATGGTCGCACCAAGTCAGCTGTACTATCGATGGTCACACCGAGTCAGCTGTATCATCGATGGTCACACCAAGTCAGCTGTACTATCGATGGTCACACCGAGTCAGCTGTACTATCGATGGTCACACCGAGTCAGCTGTATCATCGATGGTCACACCAAGTCAGCTGTACTATCGATGGTCACACCGAGTCAGCTGCACTATCGATGGTCACACCGAGTCAGCTGTATCATCGATGGTCACACCAAGTCAGCTGTACTATCGATGGTCACACCGAGTCAGCTGTATTATCGATGGTCACACCGGGTCAGCTGTATTATCGATGGTCGCACCGGGTCAGCTTTACTATCGATGGTCACACCGGGTCAGCTTTACTATCGATGGTCGCACCGGGTTAGCTGTATTATCGATGGTCGCACCAGGCCAGCCGTCTCATCGATGGCTGTATTAGGACAGCTGTACTATCGATAGTCACACCAGGTCAGCTGCACTATCGATGGTTATCAACGGACGTCACGTGAGGTCACCCACCAGCATTGAACAAAGTTGAACTGTTTCTTATTTGTCAGGAAAAAAGCTGGTACAGTCAAAGTCATAAGATTCCTCTGGGCCACATAATTCGGATGAGTAGAAATGTCATGCTCAATCAGCTGACGTGACCTCAACCTGATTCGATCTGGACCTGACCTGGCCTCCTCTATGTAAGCATTATTGCATGATTCGATCACACAGCCACACGCTGCTGCGTCTGGTGCCAGTCATGCTGTTACGTACGTGGCCATTACTACCAGCGAGCTGCAGGGCAAGCAAGTCTGTTCGAGCTTTGAGAAGATGCTCAACCTGGGCGGCCCGAATCTGTCGCACGCCTGTCAGCTTCACACGGTTTTCAGCAGCAAAAATGCAGTTCTTGATAAGCTGAGCCGTATGAATTGCTAGGCATTCGCATGCAGGCTGCTAATCAGGAGACCTTTTCTCGCAGCATTACAAAGCACCATGATTTCACCTGCCTCGTGGTGTTAACATGGAAAAGGAAAGTTTCTCAGATTGCGAAAAGCTGTAGAACACGGGCCGACATCGGATGAAGATATTAACGACCCAGTGTGGCGGGAACATGAGACTAACAGATTCTGGCAGGGCAGAACACGACCAAAAGCACGGGCTAAATTGTGAGCCGATGTGTGCAGACGGCCACACGCTCTCGTGCGCACACCATGGATCCGTCCGTTTTTTTTTGGGGGGGGGGGGCTGGATCTCAGCAAGCAGGGCAGGTGAAAACGTGAAACAAGCAGGCGAGCGTATCAGCCACATACCGTCGACGGATCTAAACCGGGCCATGAAATCGCCATTCATCGGTCGAGAGACGGACAGCGCTACCTATCCCATACCCATCTCGAACATAAGGCGCTGTAGCCTTATAAGAAGCATAGGCAGCCATCAAAACCACACAGCACGGGCGTAAAGCCCCGCTTTCTCTCAACGCCGTCAACTCGAAACGACTGCGTTTTACGCAATACATGGGTTATATTTGCAAGGGAGTTGATTGGTGTCCATGAATCAAATTGCACAGCCTGCCCGGACTCACGATCAGTCATTTCTAAATAAGTTTATTGGCATTAGCGATAACTCCCATGCATTGATCATAGCTGTCGGTGTCGGTAACCGAAGATATCTGGCTCCACTAGCTTAGTTTTAGGCATCATCTACCTTACAGCTAACAGCTGTCATATTTGCTGTCGCCTGGCTCGTCTCATGCCGCGCAATGCGTCTCAGTTATACATGTGAAAAGTTCGGAATGGACTGAAAAATTTGGTGATCCTGAAACTAATTTTGTGGTTAGTGGAGCCACCAGTCGCGTGAAAGGTGTTAACTTAACGACTCCTCTCTGAAAACGGTCAGGGCTATTGATTGCCGCCATATTTTTTCGATCACACGCTTGTCCTGGGACAGCACAGGGCACTTTTACCCGGGACTTTGCGATTAGTGGAATACCCCAGGCTGTATTGTTTAGTATTCAAATATTCATGGATATGTCAGGATGATTAAGTTAATTCTGTTCATCTTTTTGCAACCACTCACTCGAATACTACCAGACATTTAATGAACCTGTCTCAAAATAAACACCAATATGAAAGACGATCGGCAGGAAGACAACGTTAAAACTCATGCAGTTCAGCCAGCTTACAATTCACAAGCCAGTACATCGTCACACTCTCAGCTCAGCTGATCCGCTGACTGCTGTGTTAAGTTCATCGCTGAACACAGCGCACAGCAGGTGTTGAGATCGGCTCGCCGGGAGAGCTGCGGCCTGCGCGGCCCGGCGTGAGCGGCACCCAGTCACGTCTCACCTGTTCCAGAGGTAGCGGCGCGGCCCGGCGTGAGCGGCACCCAGTCACGTCTCACCTGTTCCAGAGCTAGCGGCGCGGCCCGGCGTGAGCGGCACCCAGTCACGTCTCACCTGTTCCAGAGCTAGCGGCGCGGCCCGGTGTGAGCGGCACCCAGTCACGTCTCACCTGTTCCAGAGCTAGCGGCGCAGCCCGGCGTGAGCGGCACCCAGTCACGCCTCACCTGTTCCAGAGCTAGCGGCGCAGCCCGGCGTGAGCGGCACCCAGTCACGTCTCACCTGTTCCAGAGCTAGCGGCGCGGTCCGGCGTGAGCGGCACCCAGTCACGTCTCACCCGCTCCAGAGCTAGCGGCGCGGCCCGGCGTGAGCGGCACCCAGTCACGTCTCACCTGTTCCAGAGCTAGCGGCGCAGCCCGGCGTGAGCGGCACCCAGTCACGTCTCACCTGTTCCAGAGCTAACGGCGCGGCCCGGCGTGAGCGGCACCCAGTCACGTCTCACCTGTTCCAGAGCTAGCGGCGCAGCCCGGCGTGAGCGGCACCCAGTCACGTCTCACCTGTTCCAGAGCTAACGGCGCGGCCCGGCGTGAGCGGCACCCAGTCACGTCTCACCTGTTCCAGAGCTAGCGGCGCGGCCCGGCGTGAGCGGCACCCAGTCACGTCTCACCTGTTCCAGAGCTAGCGGCGCGGCCCGGCGTGAGCGGTACCCAGTCACGTCTCACCTGTTCCAGAGCCAGTGGTTCGGATGCCCTCTTGTGCTGCTTCTGGGGCTTACAGGCACCCGTCAGCCAGAACCTCTGCAGACGTTCGATGTCGCCTGACGGACAGACAGCAGACCGCTCTGCCGTCAAGCCGTTCACCATTCTGAAGCACGCCTCGTAACAGCCAACATGTAGTTGATGGCCGGGCTCCCCAGCTGCCAACCTGTCCCTGGGTTACGGACAGGCTGCCAAAATATGCGGAAGGCCAACGCCTGATGCGGAACCACAATCTTCAGAAATTGCCTCTGGCGTATCCAGAACTCCCGACCTTCGGCTTTCCACCGGCGGCCTACGACCACAGCGAACAAGATAAAACGGCACACGCCCTCACCGTGATCGTTGTACTGCATGAGCTTCTTGTTGAACTGGTCGACGTATTTCGAGCCGCGCCGGAAGCCGACGCCGTAGCCGGTCATGCCGTACCACGAGCCGACAGTGAGGATCTCGCAGTCGTCGTCCTGCGCCACCATGTACTGCAGCACCGTGGCGTCGTAGAGGAACGCATCCAGCTCTCTGGTGACAGCCGAAGCCCGTCAACATAGAGAACAACTAAGGGCGCATATTTCCTGTCATATGGAATATGGATCCCTAGCGAAAATCTGTAAGATTAATACATTTCTCCTGTAAGATAGCTGCCAGAACAAAGGAAACTGCCCTTCTCAATCCCACGATAGAGGGGGGGGGGGGACATGCCCCCGTCGGTGACGCCGCTCCCGGCTGCAGTGAGGGCCAGCCGGACTGAGCTCTGACCGCATGGCGCCGGGCTTCCTGCTGACCCCTGTGTACGGCCTGCACTAGCTTCACATGGCGCAGCCCGCCGCCCATTGACCCGGCTCCCTAGTGACCCCTGTGTACAGTCTGCACTAGCTCCACACGGCGCAGCCCGCCGCCCATTCGTCCGGCTCCCTGGTAACCCCTGTGTACAGTCTGCACTAGCTCCACACGGTGCAGCCAGCTGCCCATTCGTCCGGCTCCCTGGTAACCCCTGTGTACAGTCTGTACTAGCTCCACACGGCGCAGCCCGCCGCCCATTCACTGGTGTGTAGTGTCTCCGGTTCCTGTGGTGTTTACCCAGTTGAGCTGTTTCATATTTTGGTGCGTAATTACGAGCACCAACAGAGAAAGAGCAGGAGTGGAGCGATGGCGAATCGGACCGGCTCGCGTTGGACGGTCTGGTGGCGCGAAGAGCCCTCACCCAGTCTTGATATGCTTGATGCCCTCCTGTACATCCGCACGTGTGTGCTGAAGGATGTGCCTGAACTGCTGTGGCTTGTGCTTCCGGAGCACCATTTCGGTGTTGGTGTACAGGACGGTTCCGGCCCGGAACGGCGGCTCGAACGAGTTGGGAAACACCATCTGGAGAGAACGGCCATCGGTTGTCATTAGCGACCTCCTGGTCAGACGGAAGTAGCACCTAACGACAGTCAGCACATAACAATGACATCGCACCACCATCCAGTGCCGCTTACGCCACCGTTAGCCGCTTCCGCCTTCATCAGATTTACATCCGTTACCGGCACTTGTCTCCTCGCAGTAATGGCACCAGCGACCACTAACTGTTCTCCTCCACCGTTCCATCAGCAATCACCTTCCTTTCCGGTTCCCAACGCTGTCGCCTCTCTCCCTATCTCTCTCTCTCTCTATCCCTCTCTCTCTCTCTCTCTCTCTATCTAGCCACCTCTCTCTATATCCACCTCCCGCCCTTTCGCCCCCTCGCCCTCTCACCCCCTCGCCCTCTCGCCCTCTCGCTCTCTCGCCCTCTCGCCCTCTCATCCTCTTGCCTTCTTGTCTTCTTGTCCTCTCGCCCTCTCGCCCTCTCGCCCTCTCGTCCTCTCGCCCTCTCGTCCCCTCTCGCCCTCTCTCCCTCTCGCACCCTGTCGCCCTCCCCTCCTCCCTCGCCGCCTGCCTGTGCCCGGCGCACCGGCCGGGGGCGCGGACGGCAGCGTCCTCACCGAAGCAGACCGCAGTGCCCATACCGGCAGCCTCCCCTTCGCTCGGCGTGGCCTCGGGGTCTGATTAGGCGCGGCAGGCGGAGAGGTGCGGATGGTGCTTGAGCCCACTCACCCGGTCGTCGTCAATACCCTTCAGTTCGTGGAACTCCTCTCGCGTAATCATGAAGGCGGCCAGGTTGGCGGTGTAGATGGCGAGGAAGACGACCGCAAACAGTGCCCACATGGAAGCCATGAATCTGTCCAGGTCATCAGACAGTCAGAGATGGGGTTCAGATGGGAGGCCATGAATCTGCCCCAGTTATCATACAGTCAGGAACGGGGTTCAGATGGGAGGCCATGAATCTGCCGCAGCTATCAGGCAGTCAGGGGCGGGGTTCAGATGGGGGAGGGGCACAAGCCCGCCGGGATCGCCAGACGATCGGGGGAGGGCGAAGAGGGGTTCAGATGTGAGCTCATGCACCTGCCAGGGCAATCACATGTCCGGGGTTTACAAGACACCGCGACTTTTAGGCCTGGGAGTGCAGACACACACGGAAATTCCATACTACACAGACAAATGGACTGTGAGGGGAGGAGTAGCCGTTATAGTTTGACTATTTTATATTTGCCATTCAGCTTCTGCCCTTCACCTAAACATTGGATACGCAAGTTACCAATTCTGGATTGGTCTGGCCGATTGATTAATGCTGTCTGCATATGGACACGTGTTGCTTTACAACTTGAAGACTGCCGTATAATTGAGTTGCACTTAAGCAGCGCATCAGCAATTTGCAGTGTCATGTGAATAACGTGGAACATCTGCAGGTGTCTGCCTCTAGAGGATCCAGCTCCTGAGATCTTAAGTACGGTTCGGAGTAGAAGCAGGTAGCGTAGGACACCTGGTGTACTTTGACCTTTCCAGAGATTGCTTTAGAGAGCACCAGTTACGAACTGATTGCTCGCACTGCACACCATGTCGTTAACTAAGTTGGCTGTTGTTTTCAGTTAGGCTCTGAGTCACTGTTCTCACCTAGCTATAAGTCCCAGGAAATGGCTTAGCTAACGATCCTGGCAGGAACCGGATGTGAGCCACTGACTCGGCGTGGCTGCCAGCCCCTGACCTGACCTGGCCATCGGTCTCTGACTCGACCTGTTGGCCCCTGATGTGAGCTGACCCACACCCTGACCTGGCCTCGCTGTTCAGACACTAGCCTGACCAGACCGTCAGCATACGGCCTGACCTGACGGCAGCCCCTGACCTGACCTGACGGCCATCCCTGACCCGACCTGACTGTCAGCCTCTGACCTGACCTGGCTGTCAGTCCTCGAGGACAGTCGGTGTGCACAGCAGCCTGGAACAGGATGGCCCACACCAGCCAGTACGTGCGGAACAGTGAGAACTTGTGGTCACGCGGAGCCACCGTCTGTCGACACAGAACAACACACACACCGTCAATTGCCAATCTCACCCAGCGCCGGCGATGACGATGACGTCCGTGCGTTGCTAATGATTCAAAAATGAAAACAACCCTGCTTCATGACTTAAGTCATGTTCGCAGGAACGATGGGTGTGGTGTTGACGTGTCAACTGCAGTGAACGCTAACCTTCATGTTGTATCCAGACGGGCTTAGCCATTCGAAGAGGAAGATGGTGAGAGCGGTAGCGTGTATTGCCACGAACACCACCAGGGTCCAGGAGGCTGTGTCGAAGGGCTCTGAAACAGGCCCGGACACCGCACTGAAACCTCTGTCTTAGTAGGATTCGCTAATAATCGGTAAGGGTAGTAATATTCAACGTTGGCGCCATTTGTTTTTTTTTCTGAAAAATGCGTGTTTGAATAGGCTGAGTGACTGAGGTTCGTGGAAACGTTATAATAAACGCCGCGGCGTGTTGTCCTTTATGCTATAGGATGACCAGACCCCGCAAAAACAGTATATTTCTCGTAATCTTGCAATACGCATAACGCGTTCTGTACCATATTATAATAAGTCTAAGTTACAAAGTCAAGAGCACCATATCGATTGTTAGTCTGGAGGGTGAAACATGCTTGAAGCTCGCTGCAAGCCATCAGTTAACAGCACCAGCAGCTGTCGCCCTACCCAGAGATGACTTGGGGAGACAAGACAGGCCTCCAGTGAAAGGATCGCCAGGCTCAGCTGAAGCATCACCTAGGAATGCTGTCGGTGAGATGATGCCTGTTCGCTTGGCCACCACGATGGTGGTTCCAGTGTCCAGGAATGGAACGCTGAAATCTGCGACAGAGAAGAGTGTCGAGACGCAAGCTCCCTTGCGCAGAGAATGCCGGCACGCACCTGGCTTTCGCAGCCAATCTCACCACATCATCCCACCACAAGCGAACACTGAAACGACAACAGCAACACCATTGAAGCCACTGAGAGTTGGTGACGTTTGTCAACTGGTCGGCAGGACGCAGCGCCCAAAATTCACAATCACTGTTCTCATGGTTTGACTGGTGCCCTGCGAAATGCCTGGTCAAGCGACACAAAAACGGCATCTCTTGTGTGCTAGGTTTCTATGCTTGTGGGCTATGCGCTGCAACATGACACGTGGTAGTACAAACCACGTGTATTTTCACGATGCTACGCAGTTCTCACGTATGGTTCCGTCCTAGCTACCCACATTCGTCCCGATTGTTTCCCAGTGAGGTTTCACTCCGTGTAGTTTTATTGCATTATCGGGACAAGTTCCGAGGATTATTCCAAAATTGGGGAATCCTCATGAAAGCTACATAGGGTACACTTCAAGTGCGCATACGGCAGTGCAGTGCGTCATGTATAAATGTGGAGCGTACATATTTCGATGCATG